ATGATGTCCTAATTTAAGTGGTTTGGTGATTCTGAGGACCTATCTGTATTACTTTAAACTATTCCATTTCCATTAGTCCGCCTTCCAAGGTATCAACCCTAGTGTATAAACAAACACAGTTGACCTTGTGGGTGTTGTGTGATGAGTTCGTTTCCCCGTTATTTTAAGCCTTGATCTATCCTGGTGGCATTATCACTTGTAAGCAAACCCACCATTTGTTATCTATGGGGAATTTCATTATCCGATATATAGTAGATAGAACAACTCCCAAGGCATAATGTGCATTCCTGTAGAAGATGATATTAAATGAGGAATGGGTGTTCACCACCAAGTATTTCACTTCTACGGCAATCGCATTCCTACCCCCTCATGACGTAGTCAACATTGAAACATATCCTCATACTTGTGTCTGTTCTCCCAGAAAACCTATCAGTGAACCTTTGAAAGGCTGCAGAGTCTCAGGTTCCATCTTTAAACCTTCAAATAAATCCAAATAAAGGATATCGGTTGAGTTGTCAGGGTCCTCTAGGAATCTCTTGACATTCAAACTCTCCATTTGTAAGCTAACCGACATGGGGTCATTTTCTTAGGGGTAAGATTCCTTTTGTGTCTCTGTTGGAAAAAATATTTTAGGCAAAGAAATTGTTCTATCTGCGGGTTGTACATTGGCAGTATGCATAACTTGATGAACATGTCTCTTTCTCGACTAGATATTCACTTTGCCTCTTACGGAACCTCCCACAAAAATATTTGAAGTGTGAGTCGCTTGGCCAAGTTTTGTCTTTCTTCTTGGCTATGACTTCTCCTAAGTAGGGATGTTCTCTGGAGGTTTGTCTTCATGTCTGGTGCCCTTTTCCTGAAATTTAGGAGTTACCTCGTATGTATCTTTTCATGAGACCCTCTTGGATTAGCTTCTCAATTTATCGCTTCAGGTGGTGACAATCATTTGTATCGTGAGCACGTATCATGTGATACTTGAACCAACTGTCTTGCTTGTTCCCTATCATATATTCCTTTGAGGCAAGGGGTTCAAGAATGACCTTAGTATGGTAGACGCCTTGGACGATCTACTTCTTCCTTGTGTTCAGTTGGGTAACATGCTCTAATGGCCTTCTGAAGGAATTAAAGGCAAAATTTTCTCAAATTGGTAACATGTTCTGACTCCTTCATTGGTCGAGCATTTCATATTTTCCGCCTCATCTCTCTCTTGTATCCCATATTCTTTTTTAGATTGTTTTATTCTCTTTTGATATAAAATTACGCTCTTGTCACAATTTTTTCCATCAATGTTGTCAACTTCTAGATCGAGAACTCGTTGAAGTGACTGGCTTTCAGACCATCCTGAAAAGTTCTAACAAAAAATGATGAACCATCTTTCATGTCAGACCTTTGTAGCTCGGCCTAAGGGTAGCCTCTTTAAACGTTTCGAACATCAGTTTGCACTTTAGTGAGTCATATACCCCAAGGATGGTTATCTAGGTGTTAATGGTGATTATGTGCTCATATGGGTCAATCTTACCATCAAATGATACCAAAAATGGTGGTTTAAAACTTTTGGGGACCAAGGCATCCCAAATCTCTGTTGCGAGTGGTTGGAGATCTATGGGATCCTCTTCTTTGAACACATCTGACTCTACATGTTGTTGTTATAAGTAATGGAAACTCTCATGTAACACCTCATTCTAGCGACATAATTCCTCCATACTGGTTAGCATCACCAATATGGAAGTTTGGTCGTTTCCGTTGTTGTTTCTCTTCATCGTGAATGTACAAAGTGACAAAGAAGATGCATTGGGCTTTGGGGACGTGAAAGGGGTCTCCTTCATCCAGTCTTTGACGTTGTTGGGAACTTTCCCAAACACCTTGTGAGGATTCACCAATTATGTTGGTTTCTTTCTCTTTATCTAGGGAGTCATCTTATATAGGAAACAGTAATGTGGTTAGTTTATACAGAAATGATATTCTTACACTCTTTCCTACACCCTACATCCAATTTACTGTTCACAAATACGTGAACAAATTTCTCAGAACATGGTTAATAGTATGTATTTTATTGGTTAATGAAGTAGTGAAAGTGGTTAATAAATTATAGGTAAAATAATTGGTTAATGATGTAGATTTTTGTAGTTAATGCAACTGTGAAGTTGGTTAATGCGCAATCTTATATTTGTGTTATAAAATAAATTTTAAAAATAAATATTTTTTTAAAATTAATATTTAAAAAAAAAAATATTATTTTAATTAAAAAATACTGTTCACCGTATAAATACGGTGAACAATGCATACGGCGTAGGATGTGGGTGTAAGAAATGGTGTAAACATAGCAAACCTATAGTTTATATTCAAACTCAAAATATAGAAAAAAAATTGCTCAAAATTACTTACTGAAATACTTGAGATTATGAGAATCTGGCTCTTAAACCTACCTATACGAACTCTTTCTTTTTTATATATTACAAAAGTGCCACAAAAATAATTACGCGAATTTATTAAGTTAATTATGACAAGAAATATATATTGAATATCATTGTATTAAGTTAGTTTTTCTATTATAGTTGGTATGTTACTCTCCTACTTTCTAGGATTGTTGGTTATTCTAGTTACTTAACATGCAAGTAACCTAAATTTATATATACTAGCGTCCAGACGGGCACTCGCGTGTCCGTCTGTCCGCTTTTTTATTGCACGCATATAAATATAAATGATATATTTTTACTTAATATTAATTTTACATGGAAGTTATGTGGGAAGTTATTAGTAGGGAGTTATATGAAAGATGATAGTAGTAGTTCAATGGAAGTTATTGTGTAAGTTATATATTTTAAAATAAGGGTAAATTTGGTATAAAAAAAAGCTACACCAAAAATCAAGTATTGCCTTTATATATGTTATAGATATATATATATATATATATATATATATATATATATATATATATATATATATATATATATATATATATATATATATATATATATATATATATATATATATATATATATATATATATATATTGCATGTCAAGTATAACAACCCTAGAAAGTAGGAAAATAAAGTTTGCAAACTGCAAAAATCATTGTATGGCTTAAAACAAACTAGTCGACAATGGTTTTCTAAGTTACTTACCTTACTTGCTTCCTTTATATTACAAACAATCTCCTTATGACCATTCCTTTTTCACCAAAATCAATGGTCAATACCATACATTTTACTCATTTACGTTGATGACTGGATTCTTTCTAGTAATGACTTGGAAGAAATACAAAAGTTAAAATCCACATTTGACATCACATTAAAAATTAAAACCTTAGAAATCTCTGATTCTTCTTAGGCATTGAAGTGATTCGATCCTCACTTGGTATCTCCTTTTGTCAAAGAAAATATGTTCTTAAACTACTTCATGACACGACTTTCATTGGGGTCAAACCTTTTCTTGCACCTATGACAAAATCTCACAAATATTATATTACTAATGAATCCTCTCCCACTAACCTTATTGCCTACAAGAGACTCATTGGCAGATTAATTCATTTATACACCACTGGACCTTATCTTAGTTATTTTGTCCAACAAATTAGTCAGTTCATGTCATCACCAACAACCACTCATTTACAAGCTTCATATCGAGTACTAAGATACATAAAAAATCTCAATCTCAAGGATTGTTTTTCTCATCCAGTTCCACTATTCGCCTCAAGGCTTTTAGTGATTCTAATTGGGCCTCATGCATCGACACTCGACGTTCTGTTACAGGCTTCTGCATATTTCTAGGAGGCTCCCTCATCTGTTGGAAATCTAAAAAGCAAATCATGGTTTCTCACTCTTCGTCTAAAGCTGAGTACATAGCACACATCCACCGTCTACAAACTACAATGGTTGACATACTTGCTAACTGACTTCAATGTTCAATTCACAACTCATGCTCTCCTCTATGTGACAACCAATGTACTCGTCATATCGCTGTCGATGCCACGTTTCATAAAAGAATAAAACACATCGAAATTGATTGTCATATCGCCAGAGAAAAACTCAATGCTAAGCTATTTCAATTATTGTCAATTCCTAGCTTTGCACAGCTTACAGATATTTTTACAAAATTTCTCGATCATCAACCTTTTTCCTTGATCTTATCCAAACTCAACACATCAAATAACTACGCTCCAGGTTAAGGGAGGGTATTGAATATCATTGTATTGACTTAGTTTTTATGTTAGAGTTGTTACTTTATTCTCCTACTTTCTAGGGTTGTTATACTTAACATGCAAGTAACCTAATATATATTCTGTTACTATATATATTCTGTTACTCTATATATATTCTGTTACTCTAAAGGAAATTTTATAGTAATGAAGGATTGAAATTCCATAATTTCTTGGAGTGCACGTTGTGTAATCGATCATGAAACATCATTTCTAATTGAATTCAATCATTTTTTAGTAGTTATCTTAAGAAGAATTAGAGTGGAACATCTTTAACTATCAATTTTGTACGGTAACCAAACGTTGGTTACATTCAAGGCTATGTATGTATCTAGTTTATTGTTGTGTGTGAACTAAATATATCCTCTACGCCTCTGCAATGTAGATAGAACTATAAATAGAGTACAAAGATCTCAAAAGTTTTAACCTATTTTCTTTTTTTAGAATTAGATTTGGTTGGTGCATCTCTCTTATTTCATAATATTCTAAATAAAGTATATTATTAAGTTGTGGAAAAATTCTCTTGCCATGAGAATTAATTATAGACATGATTAGTGCTTGAATCATTATTAATTTGCGTGTAATTCTCTATCTGTAAACTCTTTATATGAAAATGGTCCAACACTGGTTTAAATCATAGTTCCAAATCTTTGTTTTATTACACAACTTGGAAAAACTGAAAATTTCAAAGCCATTATCTTAGCACTTTAATCTATTACAAGTTTACATAACATACACAATGTTGGTGTAGTGTAGTGTAGATATACATACATACATCACACACAGACAATAAAAACCACATTAGCTGCAAAGATTTGGTATACACACGCCACCATCTGGATTCTGTTGTTCTTTCCATATTCTTCCTGTCACTCTTAGTTTCAGTTCTTTCCTATCACCACCAGAGAAAAATAGAGCCATATTTCGTTGAATTATGAGTCCGTCGTGACTATCTCGGACTTTACGGTGGCTGTCACGGATACTCCGTGGTGTTCCTTCCCAAATGAGTTTTCGTCCATTTGCTCCAACTTCGAGGCTATATGTGTAGTTTCGAGCATCGTTCTCGTCTCCCATGAAACGAAGGAATGCCATGTAAACTGGAGCCATGCCTAGCTGGAAAGCTTCAAAGTGAAGGCAGAAGTATTGGCCGAAACAATGAAATACCTATCAATTAATCACCAGAAGAATAGATTACAGATCAGGCGATTAGCTGTCTGATTTTGATAAGGCGATTGTGTTATTGCGGGAGTAATAATCTATACAAGAAAAGAAGATATCTGTAAACACACTTACAGTGAGCATCCAAGTAGCATTCTCTACATCACGCGGATTTGACTTTACATAACGATGGTTGAATGTGCATCCTGTGTGCATGTCGACCTTATGATCATCCCTCAAATGTGCGACGAGGAAGTTAATATCACCAGCAGCGGAGCACTCTGATCCGGCGTAAGGACAAGTGTATGGTCTAAAATTGCATACCGCCTCATGCTTAAGCTTGCTGTAGTATGGAAAGATTTCAGGACATCCGAGAGAGTAGTACTTGCATGGTAACTCGAGTGATTCGGCAACCTTCTCTAGTGCCAGACACCTGATATCTCCAAGCTCTTGTCTACAAGTCGGACATCGATTGTGCACCCTTGTTTTACAAGTGGAACACAATGTGTGACCATTGTGGCACTGCAATAAAGCTATTTGTTACTTTGTTTTTCCTTTTTGGCAAATAAAGACTTCGTTTTCAGCATTTGCCAACTTCCAGCTAATATGTTTCAATCATTATTAGTCGACTTTGGAAGATGTCAAAAACGAACTTAAATAAAGAAAAGAAATGCATAAGCAAATATTAAACAACGATGCTAATTGTGATAGGGGGTACAAAGCCTAAACGAGCAAACCAAAACTTTAAGTAGCTAAGTAAGTGTTGTCAAATTTTCGCCATGGCATTATAGCACGGGGAATTTTGTGCCCACTGCCATAGACCAGCACAACTTTTGTATCTGCCATATTTATATGGAGGACTTTTGGCCGGTCGCCATAACCCACAGTTGATAGCACTGAACTATGTCTTCCAGTAAAAAAAAACAAACCAGGCACAACAAAGAACAAAACCAGACAAATATCATGAAAAATGTACTGTAAACAACAATTAAACAGCATGATCAATAAACAATGTGCAGTAACATGTGTGAACAGTTACAAAACAATGGCAAAGAAGGTCCTTGAACACCCCCTCAAAAGGTGGACCCACAAGCTAAAAGTCACTCCAAACAAACCAGAAGAAGCAAGTTAAATAAGACCAAAGGCGCCAAAATACTACTCTGGCAAGGTGACACATTCGTTTCACTTGTCGGAAAACATCTGAAAATCGTAGGGGTGTGTGGGAGTGAATGAAGTAACCTTATCATGGAATTTGACAGAAAAGGGTCATCTTGGCATTAAGGAGGTACATACCCTAGAATTTTTGCGACACTAATCTACAATTCAAAAGGATTTTCCCTATTTTCTTTTACATATCAATTGGTTTCTATCGTATCTTTATAGAACTAGAAGTATCAGGTAGCAGTGTTGTTGTTAACCACCATACAAACCCAATTACGTCCAAGGGTGGTGCCGCCATGGCAGGCATCAATTCACAAATTTCCTAAGGCCGTTGTCAAAAAAGCTGCCGCACCATGGCCGCCATTTAACACAACTGCTACTAGTAGTTGGCAAGCCCCTTTTCCTAATTCTATATCCATAAATCAGGTGCAACCACTATGATCAACCAAAACCTAATTGAAAACATCCTAAACCCCCTAAGCTCCAAAAGAACAAATCAACTTCACACTAAGTTCATAACACTACAAAGCAAAAAATTTACCAAACAATCCACAAAAAGCATACAAAAAAAACCTTAATAAACAATCACATACGACAAAAAAACACAAACGAGTGAGAAAAAAAAAGTAAACCTGATGAATTGGAGGATACATTGAATTGGTACAAACAGGACATTCCAACAACTCATGAACACTAGTAGCAGGAGCAATAGCAGTAGAGCCAATAACATGATTAATGTTATTAGTGTTTCCTCCATTACGAGGTTTCAATAAAGAAAACTCAGAGTGATGATGATGATGTGGATGTTGATGTGGATGAGGATGAAGAATACGGTGTTGGATCTCATCTTCCTCCATTCCATCAGAAGATGAAACACACTCAATGCTATCCAAGTCCATGAAAATCAAAACTGAACCGAATCAAAAAAAGAGAAATACCCAGTTATCAAAATCGAAAATTTTACCGTTTTAATTATCTGGGTATTTCTCTCTCTATCTCTATCTTTTCTTTTCAATTTAAGAACAAGAAAAGGAAAACAGGAGAAGGAAGATGGTGGTCATGGATCGATGAGAAAAGTGGATTGTGATGAAACAAACACCATTATGTTTAAGAACATGTTCTTTTCTTCGAGTTCTTTCACTTTCTCTCTCTTACCGAGGTTGTCTCGTGTGTGAAGTGGGAGAGAGAAAGAGAGAGAAAGGAAAGAGAACCGTTGGATTACGATATTGAATTGGTGATTTATTGATCCAACGGTGGATGAGTTATTTATTTATTTTGTTTTACTAGTTTTGTTGTAAAGAGTAATAAAATCAAAAAGTTTGAAACAGACAAGAAAATGAATTGGTAACAATTTTTCAACTAAAAGTATACACGTGTTTATTAGGATGATGATTTGATGAGACCAATGAATTGGTAATAAATTTGATTTGATTTAACAGTATCTTCTTTTATTATTACAATTAATATTTACTTTTACTCATCAATTACTTCCTCCGTTCCAAAGAAAAAATTTATTTTAAAATAAATGTTATTTTTATTTTTTTAATAATAACTATTTTTTAATTATATTATTTAATTATTATTTTAAACACATTAATAAAATTAATTTAATAAAATTTAACATTTTATAACAATATCATTTGTACGCAAAATCTTTAAAACAGAAAATAAAACAACAAAATTTATAAATCTATTTATTGTTTTTACTTTTTGAAAGCTTTTATATAATGTGTTTTTCTAAAAAATTGCTAAAGGTGAAATACTTTTATTATAAACAAATTAAAAATGTTAAATAAAGTATAAAATTATTTTAAATTTAAAAATTTTGAATATTAAAAAAAATAGTTATTGGAAAAAAAAACTCGGGATGACAGAAAATAATAACTTCAAAATAAATTTGAATTTGAGGGAAACGACTCTACATGTAAATTAATTTTTAAATTAGTTGTCTTAAAAGAAGAAAAATATAAAATATATTGAGAATGTAGAAAACGTACCTATCACTTTAAAATAATTTTAAAAGAACATGTAAAGTAATTGATCTTACCGGATCAGAAAATAATCAACAACCATGAGCTCTTTAATTTGTGGTGGTGGAGAAGAGGAATGGGGTGCTCGGTGGTGGAGAAGAGAAATAAGATGTACCTGCAAGGCACTCTGATGCCAGAGTAAAAGACGGAGTAGAAAGAGCAAATACAGAGAAAGTAGGTAGATAATTGAATATCTGACCCTCTAGTGAAAGAGGGTATTTATAACGTGCCCCCAGTGTTGGACCAACGGTTATTTTGTACTGGATTGGATTGCAAGGTTCAATACGAGTAACTGTCAGGGCTTACGTGGCGTAAGGAAGACCAGCACGTGGTCTTCTCCCTAGGTCAACTGCCCTGTGATCCTCGGAAGGTGGGTAGTTGTCTAATGACGTGTCCCTGCATGGGAGGCACGTGGAGACCGTGGGGGAGACGCGTGGGAACTTCCTGTGTGCGTTGATGGATCGGGCTTTCGTTGGGCCTCCCCGACGAGGAGTTGGGTTGGATCGTGCCCGACGGTGGGCTAGCCTCTAACCCAGTCCAAAATAGGAATTTTACACCGTCATCTAATGAATGATTTGCATCTCGCCACATCATACTGATAATTTAAAACGATTTAGATGATTTCGTAGATTGGTAATTTCTTATGGGACAACATTGTAAAAAAAATTACATTGATAGTACATGTCTATTAGCAATGAAAAATATGTATACAGTAGTTTCTCATCTCACATGAGTTAGCTTTCACAACCCTTATAGTCAAGAATTTGTGCTTTTAGTAAGTACATGGTGATAATGGCAAATGCTTGTATCATGTCTTATTTTAACACAAATCTTACATTGAACATGAAATCTTCCACCATTTCTACCACCACAATCTTTAAAATTGTTCAATCTACCTCTACGAGTGTCACAAGTTCAATAGAATTGTTGTTGAGACTTTTGAGTGGTAACTTAAGACTCATCTTCTTGAGGAATGATGAATCTAAATTTGTTGGAGTTGAGGAGTTACTATGAGTAAGATTCACTTATAAAGATCCAATTATTAGAGTTGGATTAGCTCAATCTAGCCTAGCTTCATGTGAGAGAAGTGTCGCTTAAACAACAATCATAGGACATAGATCATCAAGATAATGAATTATCGAGTTAGCGCTTGATATTCATTAAGAGACCACCAAGAATTGCTTCTAATTGATAACAATGTGAAATTGGATCTCCAATCAAATCAAGGATATCATCAATTTGTTGAATATGAGAAATTGTGAAATAGTTCAATCTCATTTCTCAATGCACTTTAGTTCATAGCGCAGCTGACTCGACTTCGCATTGATATACATTCTCTAAAATTGATCATTTGTTGACCAAATTTTGTGTTCAAGTTCATAGCGCAGCTGACTCGACTTCACATTGATATGCATTCTCTGATATGCATTTGTGGACCAAATTGTGTGTGCTTGAACACAATAAACAACACGAGGAACAACTAAATTTGAGAGGGTTGAGTAGCCACGTAAACATGAGTGAATCCTCTTGTTGCCATGTCAGAATATGCTGAATTTTGAGCACAATCCTCTACAAAGGAGATTTCAAGGAGGACTTACATAATTTGCAAGATGACGATAAAGGGAGAAAACTATCCAGTTTCTATAGAAATCATGAAGATGAATCATAGGTTCATGATATTATAATAGAAAAGTGGAAAGGATGAATAATTGTTCATATTGATTTAACAAGAGTCGAGAGAAGAGAGAATTATGTTTATAATTGTTCTTATAGCAATTATTGAAAAATCAGAAGAAGTACGTTTGCATGAGAAATTGTCTATTACTAGTTCTTAACCAATGTCCTTACTTCACTAAACTGAATACATGTCAAAACATAAACTGTCAAATCTTCATTTGAATCGAGGTTGATGATGACCTTGTGAATGTAAAATAAAACCTAATTTCTTAAAATGATTTACATGATTCAAGATCTTCAAAGATCAGATACTAGAAGTTACAAAATCAAAAAAAAAATGTTGAATAAGAAAATCACTCATTCATACAAGTGTCTAGCTAAAAATATTCAACCTGGCTAGAACTATTTCCCAACAACACCCCAATGTTAATACACACGGCTCTTCAAATATTCATGAGTATTTCCCTTTATTATACACATGTTGCCAGTGTCTAGTGACAGTGGAGTGGAGCAGCAACCAATATTCAACTTGAACTTTGATGGAATTTTCAATGACTTGTATGATACAGTACAACAAGATACAGGCACACCTACAGGCTCTTTGAAAATGGTTACAATCACGATACAACAAAACCAACAGGCAGTAGCAAAATTGCTTCTCTCGAGTTAGTTTTCAAAAAGTTGTTCCTGGCAGGCTTTGGCTTCATCTGAAAAACAGCAAGAACACCCTAAGTTAAGGCATGCCATCTATATACAAAATATGTAACTCATTTATATAATAATTAATAAGATCATCATATCATAGTGACATACAATTTGTTAGCTTGTATTCGAATCTAACTGTACTAGCCTGCTGTACCCCTTACTCTTAAATTATCTTTCATAGATGTTTTTTCCTTCAGTTTTAGTTTAAAAAGAAAGACTCGTGTTTATAAAATAATGCATCGCAGTGTAGAAAGGATTAAGAGTAAAGTACTCATTTAGCTCCCATGAGTTTATTGGCTTCAGCTACAGCAACGTCAGCGGCATAAAGTGCCATCTTCTTTATCTACAGAAAAAGAATGTATGGAGTGTAAGAACTAACACAGCATGCAAAAAAATTGTGATAACTACTTTGGAATCTCAGGTCATAGGGTTCTCCGAAATGCAAATGCGTACCTCCAATTTATCTTCCTTAGATCTATGGTTTTTAGGAAGTAATCGAAATTCCTCTGTCAATTGAACACATTCTTGAACATTCTCAGGCGAAACGAAGTCCATAGCCACTTTTATGCAAGACTGAAAAAGAAAATAACTAACTATATAATAATTTAACACAAAATTGTCAAAGGTCTCATCATGGTGGAAATGCTTGATCACCTTCAGTGTAATTAGTAAATAGGAAAATATTAAGGAATTCAAACCAACGCAGAAAATTTATAACTACTTTCAAATTAATAAAGATATGGAAGGTTCGAGAGCAAATTTGATATCTCAACCAATCACTAAGATGAGATAAGCATGCAGAATCTATTTGATTCTGTGCTGATATTCAACAGGAAGAACTATAAAGATGATACAAAAGAGCTTCATTATCATCAATAGTTTGATGATATGGAATTATAACTTCATTTCTAATGGGTCATTTGCAGGTTCGGTTGAGACTATTTCATTCTAGATACCCTCTTTTCCCAATATTGGCTACTATCCATTTTAAAATGACTGCAATAAAAAGAACTATAAAAATGATGCAAAAGAGTTACATTCTTATCAATAACGCGATGCATTTGGAGGAGGCGCCTGGCTGAAATATGATGCGTTTTGTCTTAGAAATAAGTAGAAATTAGTTGAGCTAAGGGTTAAAGGAGTTGGAGGTTCAGGGTTCAATCACTGACAAAAGTGTATATATAATACTAACAGCTAATTATGAACAATTTGTCATTAAAAAAAACGTGATGTTTTTATGAACTTGTTGAGCTAATTTCTAGATTAAAAACTCTTGATTGATAGTGGACCAGAGAGTTCTTTTTCCTCCATAGGAGATCATTTTAGATCGAGCTGGATAAACATCTTATGTGTTGTTTATTTTATTCTTGTTATTGTGATTTTGCTTCCACATTAGTTGGTAGACTATTTTTGCTCGAGTCTGTTTAGCTAGGTCCCCAAAATGCTATAGTGGTATAGTGGATAGCAGGATGACCGCTATTGCGAAG